TTGTCCCCATGTGTGCCTAGGTGGAGGACTCTGTGTTCTGTTTGGTGCTGCTGTTCCCACCTGCTCTAGAGTCGGGCACCAGGCCCTGGTGCTACTGGAAGACAATGAGAGGAGGGCCAACCTGCCTCTTGAGCTGGATTGCTTGTCCCTTGCCCAGTGCCCTTCCTGGGCCTGGAGAAGGGCAGGTGGGGGCTGGACAAGAAGCAGGCAGCAGACAGCATCCTGGTGCAGAGGCCAGCAGTACAGCCTGGCTAGCCTCAGACATAGGAGGTGCCAACCTATGCACATACTGGGGGCTCTGGGGCCCAGGCCACACCTCTCTCTGGGACCATCCTGAGGGAGGCTCTACCCACCTCTGCTCTCCTTCCTATTCCTTGGGTGACCAGGCTCTGGGTGGGACCCCCTGGCTCCTGTAGTGCCCATCTGGGCCCACGCAGTGTCACTGCAGAAAGGGATCTGGAGGGCAGGGAGTATTCATAATGGCCCCAGCCCCCATGAGGCCTCTGGCACCTGGGACCCTACCCAGCCCTTGCCCCATGGGGCTCCCCCGCCCAGTGCCCAGAGGAGACATAGCTTCTCTCGGGTACCTATCAGTTCCAACTTGAGTCCCAGCTGGCGGCCCCCAGACCAATCCGGGCAGCCGTGGCCATCTTACTGGGCAGCATTGGATGGTGTCTGATCTCTAATACTGCCTGGTAATGATGACGGCGGAGCCCTGCACGCAGCAACGGGGCCGCCTTCCCTCCCCTTCCACCCCATCCCCCAGCCCAAGCCCCACAATGCACCCATCCCTCCATTCTGCCAACTGGCTTCTGGGTGGAGCTTCGGGACAAAAACTAAACCTTGAGAAGGAGGCTGTGGGACGCCACCCCCAGCTTCTCTGATGAGCACCCCCAGACTCTAGGATAAAAGGCTTCCTGCAGCTGTTCCCCATACCCCACCCGCCCAGCCAGTGTTCTGGGGATTAGTACGCTCAAGTATCCTGGCCCTGCCCACAGCACCCGGGCAGGTGCTGCTGCCACACCTGGCAGGTGTGGGCTGGGGACACTGCAGCAAAGGGCTCTGGGGGTAAAGGATCAGCAGGGTCCGTGAGGCCTCAAGGGGTGGGGGTGGGGGTGGGGTGGGGATGTGCTAACCCAGGATGGGGCACCCAGGCTGGGCCTTCCTCCCTTCCTGCTCCATCATGGGGAGGAGCTGTACCTCCAGCCTTTGTCCCAAGCCAGTGGCCCAAGGTTCCCTGCTAGGGAAAACCAGGGAAGGCAGACAATGGCTTTAGGGTCTCTGCTGGCCCCATCTAGTCCAGACCATTTACTGCGCTGGGGCTCCAAGGCTATGGGTGGAAAGCTGTACATCTGACCCTGTGCCCTCAGGCTGGGTGCACCTGGGCGTCTGTGGGCATCTTATCGGACAGTGCTGGATTTCTTGGCTTGACTCTAACACTGTCTGGTAACGATGTTCAAAGGTGACCCACCGCTCTCGAGATACCCAAGGATGCGCGATCCCAAGTTCCTGGATCCAGAGGTAGGCAGTACAGGGGTCCTGCAATCCCAGGGGTGCTTGCTCCGAGGGGGCACACCTGCCCATCATGCCAAGGCTGGCCAAGTCTGGTTCTGCCACAGGAGGGGCCCCACCCTGAAGCAGCCTCTGCCTCACCCTCACCCCTACTCCTCCCAGACTGTGATTTGGGCTCAACTAGTCCCGTGGAGGCATCAGGGCCAGGACTTTGGGCTGGAGGAGGAAACCTGGGGGCCATGGCCTCTCAGCATTCAAGGCTATGTAAGTGCCCTGCTTCAGGGGACTAGTGAGGCCATTGTGATTCAGGCACCCTAATGCCACATGCAGGAAACTGAGGACATTCCCCACTGTTTCCTGACCAAGGACAAGGAATCTGCATTCCCAAGGAAACAGGAAATTGGTCCAAAATTACAATCCAGGAGGACCCATTTTATCTTTTTGATCTGAGGCCAGGATGCAGGGCCAGGAGCCCCACCCGGCATGGGGCAGGGCAGAGTCTACTCCTAAACCTTCTGTTACTCATTAATCTGCACAGAGTCATTCAGGAAACCAGAGGCTTGAGGTGAGCATTTGGCCTGGATTCACTGAACCAGACCACTTCCCGGTGGCATCCACAACACCCATACCTGGGCCGGGTCAGCGCTGAGCCAGGCCAGCCAACCTTCCTCAGAGTAGCCCTGGGCGTGGGGCTGGCTCTGCCATCAGGAGGGTGGGCTCCCAGGACACCTTCCCTCCACAGGCACCAGAATCAGAGGAGCTCATTCTCGCCCATGATGGGTGTCTTACCAGACACAGTTAGATCTGGATGCTTCTGTCTAATACTGTCTGGTAATGCCGTCCATCTACGGCCTGGTCACCGTTGGAGCAGAGCCCCTATCCCCATGGGACCCTCACTGGACCCCAAGATCCTGCTGCTTCCCTCTAACCCCACAGTGGCTTTGTTGGTATGACCAAGGGTTCTAGGTGCTGAGACCTGCACCTGCTGCCCTCAGGAACACAGGCAAGTGGGGCTGTCACAGCACAGCCTGGTCCCCACACCAAGGGTCGCCAAGGACAGTTACCTGACACCTGTAGCAGTGGAGGCCCCCACCCTGAGCCTTGGTCTTCAATACCCACCACATGCATGAGGCCAAGAGCCTGACAAGGACCCAGAAGAAGCAGCCCTGCCCCTGCCCATGATCCTGAACCCAGCATGGCAGAAAAGGATACAAAGGTAGGGGAGGGGACAGTCAAGTCTGTTGCTCACCCTGAGGCAGCACCAGAACCCAGCAACCCCGGGAGGTGCCAGAGGCAGGCCCTGGGGATGAGGGGGTGGACCACCTCCCTCGAGGCCTCAGCTCAAGGACCCCACACATTCACATCCAGGGCTGAGATGGTTGGGGCGTCAATGCCAGGGGCCAGGGCAGGCGACAATGACCATGCCTGGGGAAAACAGGTGTACAGTTGTACAAGCCCCACCTGACACCCCCTTCACCCCTATCTGCTAAGCCCTGAGGAGCTGCCTCACGCTTCAGCATTGGGCACTGAACTGACCCAACCTTGCAGCTGTGCCACAAAGCCCTTCTCCCCCAGAGAATCTGAAGCAGCTGCACAATGCTGACAGCTCTTGTGCAACTTTGAACTGGTTCATAAATGACACTAGTTTGCTGTGACAAGCACTTGCAGCAGACCCCTCCCTTGGGGAATGTGGCATACAGATTGCTTATCAGACCTCAGACCCAGACCCAGACACATAAACCCAAGTGCAGCCAGCACTCAGGCTGGCTGGTAGCACACACCACCACTGCCACCCCCAGCCTGTGTGCTAATGCTGTGCCTGTCCTATGGATGTCTTCTGTCCCCGGTGGTGATGAAGTCAAGTCGCTCTTGGGAGCCACTCCACTCATAAACAAGGAGCCCTGGCACGTGGCGGACCTCACCCTCCCAGAGCAGCTTTTACCCAACTGAGCACTGGACTCTGAGCCAAGTTCTTCTCTGGTGGACGCACCTGAAGGTATGGGCTCTTCTTAGTCTTGGCCTGGCTCATGGTGAACAAAAAAAGCCTGTATGGCAATAAACTCGGCTTCCTGAAAGCAAGCAGACTCTGACTGCCTCCTTATAACTAAATAGTACAGCAACCCACAGCTTGTGATCCATCCCCCCTTGGTCTTTCCTCAGTTCAGTTCTGGTCCCAGGGAAGGGATCTAGAGCAGGAAGGACAGGATGCAGTTCTGATGGGGACAGCAGAACAGGTTTCTGAGTCAGAATTCTCTGAACCCAGGGCCTAGGAAAGGTGGGCTTGGCAAGAAGCTCCTGGGGGGCAGTGCTAAGGGGGTCCTGAAAGTTGTGCGCCCACCAGGGGAAGGGCTGCCATGGACGGCATGGGCCACAGCTTCAGTGCTGTCCATGGCCACGATGCAAGTTGGCACAGTGCTCTGGAAGATAGGCTGCCCTCCCTGTCCAGGCCTGGCTCTGATATAGGCTGAGAAGGTCAGTACCAGAGTGGGGACTGGCTCTCATTCTGGCCTGAGTGAGGAGGGGCTCTGCCCGAGCCACCTCCACTCTGGTCGCCAGACTGACCATGGCTGCCTGGGCAGAGGGATCAAGTGGCTGGATGCAGCAAGTCAGCCCAAAGACCCTCAGATGGGTAGGGCCAGCAACAGGAAGCTGACCCCACCCAGAGAACCAGGTGAGGGTGGAAAACCTGGGGTTTTCCACAGAGGGTGACTCTCCACCCCAGCCATGCCTTGGGAAATGCCCCACTATGACGACTCAGGGAAGAGCCACACAGGGTGCAGCCCAGGGCAGCCAGCCTCAGAGGAAGTCAGTGGAAGCCCTCAGAGCAGTCAGTGCTGCGCAGGACCTTGGAAGGAGAGAAGTTGGATCATGTGCATTTCCTGCCATAAACAATTACCACAAACCAGTGGCCTCAAGACTCAGGCCCTGGCAGGCTGGGGTCCCCACTGAGATCAGGGGTACCTCCTGGTGGCCCAAGCTGCCTTTGCCTTGTGGCTGCACCAGGTCATCATGGCTTCTGTCTGCTGTCTCCTTCCTCTGCCTCTTCCTGAGGGTGCTGGCACTGAATTTAGAATGATCTCACCTGAAATCCCAACTTAGTCACATCTGCCCAGACTTTTTCTCTAATAAGGCCACATTTGCAAGTTCCGGGGCTTAGGATGTGGTCCTGTCTTCTGGGGGCCCCTCCTGCGTCCTGCAAGGGGCTACTAACAAGGCTCTGAAGGTCTGCAGGGTATGGGGTCTATGTGGCTGGAAGCTGGGGTCACAGCCCCTCAAAGGTGCCTGCCACCCTCTGCCCCTCACCCCTGCGCAGCTTCCTCCATTGCCCTTCCTTGGCCCCTTTACCATCCACCTAAAGCTCATGTTTACCTGGGGCTCTACTAGGATGCAGTTGCCAGGTAACAGTTGCTGAGAGATGGTCACCAGGTCACCACTGTTGTGTCCCAGTAGAGGGCTCCTGAGACCTCTTGGGCAGGTAAGAGGGAGTGGCAAAGCCAACCAGGGTCCTGGTTGGGGGTGTGGCTTGGCCGTACCTTCCTGTGGCCCTCTGGGGACCCAGGAGTCAAGAGAAGGGAGCAGGGACTGGAGAGAGACCAGGCAGCTTGTCTGAGCTAAACCTTCTCTGCCCAGGCTGCCTTCAACCTCAGATTCCCTAGGTGGGCTTGGGGAGGGCTGCGCACCCTCAGGATGAGTCCTTCACAGCCAGCAGGTTTGTCTTCCCCAAAGGGCCCTTGTAGGGAACTCCCCCAAAAGGATGCTGACATGTGTTTCTTTTCTTGAACATTTTCTTCAGGTTTAAAAGCATCTGTCTGTTGAACCAGAGAGATTTCCCACCAGTCTTTACTCTGACCAGGTAAAAAGAATACTTTAAATTTATTATTAGTTTGTGAGTACACTGCCTGACCCTCACCCATTTTCACTTTATCTTTATGTGACATTCCACCAAAAGGATTCAGAACCACCCGCTGCTCTGTGGATGGTTCACTTCCTGATCCCACCCTTAGAAACAGCAATTGACCAACTTCTGATGTGAAACTCACTTTTGATTTAGTATCGTCCTTTAGAGAGACCCTGAACTTGCAGCTGCCAGAGGATGCTACCTGGGTTCTGGCAGCACTCCAGCCCTCCCCATATGTACTGGATCCTATGTTCAGCACACACCTGCCAGGGCTCTTTAAAGTCTTTGTCCATCTGAATGACAAAAAATGATCATAACTCATAGCTTATTTAATTCTTTGTGAAAATAACAAGTATCAAAGTTAGAAAAGTTAGGCTTATAATGAAGAACAGTGAAGCCCATACAACCCTTCGAATGTTTCAGGGTGGTGCCAAGAGAGAATAGGACAGGACTGCCACTTTTTCTACACTTCTGTGTGACTTTTCTAACTAGTTACCCCACTTTCTAAACAGTGCTTGATTTAGTCATCACTTGCAGAGGTGACAAGGACCCACCTGTGTGTGAGCACCCACAGCTCGAAAACTGCCAAGTCCAGCAGCTTCCCCCAAGGCTCCTGCCCAGGGTGTGTTCGAGTGGGTCGCACCATGGTCTGCGTGTTGTTTTCCTGAACTGTCCCCATGCCCTAGGCTATCCCAGTCTGAGCATTTGCTGGACTGGGTAGAAATTCCATCTTTATAGCACTCTCCAGGCTCTTGTCACCCAGTGTGCAGAAGAAACCGAGGCACAGAGACTTCAGGCAGCAGTGAGGGACCTCCCCTGGCCCCTCACTCTGGGAGCCATCCTTCCCCACCTGTCTCCACACCAGCCTCATGTCCCCTCCCCGAAGTCTGGGGGCTCTGTACACATACCTGGCCCTGGTTGGTCTGTGATTTGGATTCTTCCCTCAGGCTCTGCTCCCTGGGTCATGTCCTGGACTTCAGTTCCAACCCTGTGCTGACTGCTTGATGTCCACGCTCCTTCCTGTTCTGAAGACACCCAGCTCCCGTCCCAGTGGCCCGGTGTCTCCCCCACTCCAGCATGTTCTCAGGCGGAGCTGGCTTATGTGTCACTGCCATTCCGCTTCCTGTGTCTCTGCATCACTCTCACATGCATACTTAGGAGGCCTCCCTTGGGTCCTCTGAGGCTGGGGGTCCACTTGGGCTTGGACAGTGGTGAATATCACAGCTCCTCCTGCTGCCACCAGGTTGTGGGAACTCTGGGATGGGGCTAAGTCTACAGTAACCTTACTGCACTCTCACACACATACGCACAAACACACCTGCCCATCCTCCCTAGTATACACCTGCAGCCTTTTCCCTGGAGCTGGAAGGCAGCCACTTTGCAGAGGTACATGGCTCCTCCATGCTGGGTGGCTTCCCCAAGATGGCTGATGGCCACACCCAACCCTTTACCTGTGCACAACCCCTGGTTTCCTTTCTCCATCTATGGGTTTGTTCTTTCCCCTTCTCACAGGTCCCTTCAGTAGGGCAGGTGGAGCCAGACACAAAGCCCGCCTGGCTGGTGGTCACAGGGCCAGTGTCCCCTCTGGCCCTGCTTGGCTGCCCAGCTGGTCTAGCCACAGAGCAGTTTTTCTCTTTGGAGATGACCTGTTGCCCCTGCCCAGGGAACCTCCTCTTGTTGCTCCCTTCCTAGATGCAGGCCTCTGCCATCTCTGTCCTGCTAAAGCCAGTATGTTTGTATGTATTCTGTAAGGCCTTCAGAAAGCCCCTGCCTTCCTAACAGCCCAGAACCATTTTTTTGTTTTGCTTTATTTTGGTTTTTTACCCTCAAGTAGAATGATGTGTCCAGGAACTGGCTAAATACTCTCTAAAATTGAAGCCAGATATGTTAGCACACACCTAAAATCTCAGAACTCAGGAAGATGGAAATTTCTAGTTTAGCTTGGACAAGTTAGCAACTTAGTGAGACCCTGTGTTAGCAATTTGTTTGTTTGTTTGTTTTTTTGAGACAGGGTCTCACAATGTAGTTGAGACTGACCTGGAACTCACTATGTAGCTCAGGCTGGTCTCAAACTCGCAGCGATCCTCCTGCCTCAGCCTCCCAAGTGCTGGGACTACAGGCGTGCACCACCACACCCGGCAACAATTTTTTTTTAAAGGGTTGGGGATGTAGCTCTGCATGGAGGTCCTGGGTTCAATCCCCAGTACTGAGGAAATACATATACATATATACTTGCTGAAATAGTCCAAAGTTGGCAACACAGGAAAAGTGGGACAGAGCGCATGGCAGGGTCTGGGGAGGGGACTGTGTTGGCAGGATCTCGGCTGGGCTTCCAGGCTGCAGTGTAGACTAGAGACCCTATCGCAAGGATGGGAGCCTAGGTGGCCCCCACAAACCCCAGATGCTCTAGCAGGCCTGATGGCCACCCTCCTTACAGCCAGCACCGGGGCAGCACTGGGCAAGGCCAGGACAGTGCCAGCAGTGCAGGACTCACCTGGCAGGGAAGGATGCAGACCTCAACCCTTCAAGCTACCAGGCCCCACAGCCGTCGCCGAGACAGGAACCAGCTTCAAGCAGAAGCCACAGTCCTGGACAAGAGGAAGCAGGCTCCCCTGGGCAGAGTGGGCCTAACCCTGTGCCCCATCCAAGAGCAGGCGCCTCAGGCTGCCCGAAGGCCCCACAGGAGGGTGAGGGCAGCATTTTCCCCAAGGGGCCCCTGCCACAGGGCCCCAATGCTGTTGACACATAGCCACGTCCTGTTTATCCACCACTGGGGTCAGCACACATGGACCCACATCTGCTGCAGAAGACCTAAGCGGTCCAGGATCCAGCAGTACTGGGCCCGGGTACCAGGTGAATGCACAGCAGCCTGGGATAGCCCCCCACTTCAGCCAGCCAGGGTCCCAGGGACAAGTACCCCAGCCAGGGCAGGTGATCTCAGGGGAGGGGCCTGGGCCCTAGGAGACTCCATGCCAGGTAGTGCTGGTGGGCAGAGAAGTCAGCTCTCCTCTCTCAGGTCAGTGGGCTCTGCCCATCTGGACTACTCCATCCTCACCCAGAGCGGCCCCTCATCTCCCCTGGCTGACAATAGCCCCTGGGTCACTGGTGATGTCATCGTGGACATTGTGACCCCTGCCCCAGGGGACTCCTTGCAGGCCTGCTCTGGCCGGTTCTTGAACCCAAGCCTGCCCTGCACAGAGCTTCGGCCCTGTGGGTAAGGAGGATGGGGTAGGTCTGCCTCCAGGACCTTGCTCCTTTTCCATGCCCTCATGGATCCTGCCAGCCTGAGTGCTGGGCTCTGGCAGAATGGTAGCAGGTCCCCCTCAGATGTGATGGCCCAGGGCCCCTTGGCCAGGTCTGTGCTGGGCTGTGTGGTGGGGCCCAGAGGAGCTAGGTGACCACTCAGGAGCTGCTGAAATAGGTTGGGCTCTGACTGAAACACCTCGCCCCATGGTCCCCAGGTTGGACCCATGAGAGACATATGGGCAGCAGTGGTGCGGAGCAGCTGAGCCAGCTGGACTCAGATGCAGGTGGCCTGTTGGATCTGGAAGTGGGCCGGAAAAAGTTCCATGGGGCCAGGAGCCTGAGGCTCTGAATCCCCTACCCGCTCCTGTCCACAGACCTCCCAGATGGTACAGATGCTGCCAGGTCCCCAGCCGTCCTCCTGGAAGAGTTCCTGCGGGACAGGGACAAGCAGCTGCCCAACAACGGACAGGGTCCCTTCTTCTACATCGGTGGCAGCAATGGGGCCTCCATGTGAGTGGGGGCTCAGGGGCCCCATGCCTGGCTCTAGTGGCTGCTTGCAGTCCTCTTTTTCTTCCCTACCGCTGTGGATCACTGCCCCCCTTCCCACAGCATCAGCGCCTACTGCAAGAGCAAGGGCTGGCAGCACACCCAGGACAGCCAATGGGAGGACTACAGGCCGAAATGGTGCGAGATCAAGTGCCGGGACAACTACCACAACTTCCGGGAAGGTGGGACACACTCTGGGGGCTAGCCTGCTGGGCCTAGATGCCACCTGCCCCATCCTTGCCCTCCTCCCACCAGGCCAGCAGCTATTATTACAGCTCCCCAACAACAAGCTGCTCACAACCAAGATTGGGCTACTTAGTGCCCTGTGGGAGCATGAACGGACCCTAAGCAAGGTGAACCAGATGCCACCGGGTGCCCAGGCCAGGTAAGCTCCACCCTGCCCACCACACCTGCTTCTGCCTACCTGTTCTTGAAAGACCTCCAACCTGAAACACACTGCCCATCTGCCTTCACCCCAAAGCCTGCCATATCCACCCTATCCATTCCCGTGGGCCCTTCAGTCTGCTCCTTTCCCCCACCACACAGCTCCCTAGCCTCTCATTGTATTCATTACTTATCCACCCACCCAGTGACTCATCCTTTCACCTGCCATGAACCCACTAATTCCACTACCTGCCACTCCACCCCTGCCCATCTTCATGTACAGCCACCTACTTCCTACCCACTTCTATCGGGTACCTGGAATCATTCCCCAAAGGCCTCCATCTGTCTAGCAGACCCCTGCCTACCTGCACCCAAGCCACCCATTCTCCATCTCTCCAGATCCCACCCATTCATTCTCCTAGCACAGGAGGTGGCCACACAGACCAGGTCCTGTATCCTCCAGGGTGCATATTTGGAAAGGAAACTTTGGACCAGAGAGGTAGATGCACTAATCCCAGCTGGGAGGGGCTGTTCTGACCTGAACTGAAGGATGGCCCAGTGCTGGGAGAAGGGATAAAGGCCAAGCCACAGGAAAGCATGAGCCCAGCCAGATGTTTAGCCAGGACATTCAGACCTGTACTGAGCACTTGTTGCATGCTGGCTGTCCTAACCCTGGGACTGTCTCTGAACTGAGGATTCCAAGAGAAGGACCAGGCTGATTAGACAGTGCCTGGAAGCCAGGGGTGTGAATAGCCTCAGTGCTCTGGCAGAGGCAGAGTGGGCCAACACCTGTAAAGAAAGCACCTTGGCAGAGTGGAGGATGCCAAGCAGGCAGCTGGGCCCAAGGAGGTCCCCAGGGGACACCCCTGGCAAGCCTGAGAAGACTGAAAAGACAGTCTTTTCAGATCCTCTCCACCTCCCTGGCCTCCTAGGGTGCCAAAAATGGAGGATTTTTTCCCTGAGACCTACCGCCTGGACATCAGCAATGAGAGGCAGACTTTCTTCGCCCTGTTTGATGGTGAGCAGCTCAGCTGGACCCAGGCCAGGCAGGGCAGGGCAGGTCCTGGCCAGGATGTGGTCCTAGAAGTCACTGAAGGAAGTTAGGCTGGCAGGGGTCACAGGGCCTTGGCCCTTGGTCCAGGTGCAGCTATGGCAGAAGCAAGGCTGAGGTGGAGCACATTCAGGTTGGCCAGGTCCAGGTGGACCAGGTCCAGGTGAGTCATGAACTGTGGCCAGGGCTGGGGGGAGGGGGCATGAAACAAGGCCAAGGCTGGGAGTAGGAGTGGTGAGGGCTGTGGGTGGGGAACAGGAAGAAGAGAGTCAAGCCCAGGCCTTTGTGAGGCTCCTGGGAGCACGGGGCGTGGTGGGTGGTGCCAGCAATGGGCAACGTGGAGTGGTGCCAGGAATGGAGGTGTGGTCCTGGATGTGGTGGGGCTGGGATGGATGGAGCCAGGACCCAGGTGTGGTCTGGAGTAGTCAAATCCAGGGATAACCCACTCCAGGAGGCCATGGATGGGTTGGGCCAGGGAATGCAGGGTGTGACCATGGAGAGGCAGTGCCAGGGATGGGTAGGGGCAGAGGTGGGTGGGGCCATGATGGGGCTGGGCCAAAGGCTCAGTGAGGGTGCTCCCTGCAGAAACCCAGATATGGATCTGCAAGCCCACAGCGTCCAACAAGGGAAAGGGCATCTTTCTGATCAGGAGCCAGGAGGAGCTCGCCATCCTGCAGGCCAAGACACACAGCACCAAGGATGGTCCACTTCACAGCAAGACGTCCTTCAGGGGGCCTCAGGCACGGGTGGTACAAAGGTGTGGGCAGCTTGAAGAATCTGGCCTGGGTAGAGATCTGGGTGGCCAGCAGTGCTGCAGGGGATCCTCCAGCTGCCCACAGCTTGGCTCTGGGGCTGCAGAAGAGGTCTCACATCTTTGCCCCTAGACACAGGCTTGTGGACAAGGAGGGCTTCATCATTTTGTTCCTCTGTCCCTCTACCAGCAACAGCTCTACTGTTCCCCAACCCAACCAGGCAGCTGCAGCTTTCAGATCTGCAGCCAGAGCTGACAGGGCCTCTTGACTTCCAGGCAGGATCCAGACCCTCAGCCTCACTTGAGGCTGGGATAGGGGTGGGACCCAGTGTGGACCTCACACTGGCCATAGACATTGCCCTTCCATCAGGCCTTCCCAAGCCACAGCTCCCTGCCTCGTGCTGAGGGACTTGGACTTGAGGGCCACTGGACTTGTCCTCTCCCTTCTTTTCCAACACCATTCACCTTCCTGCCTCCTCCCAGCAGCCCTCCCTGCCCCTGGGCCCACCCCTCCAGGCTCAGGGTGAGGCTGGCCCAGACACCTGCAGTGAACCAAGATTTAGCACAGGCCAATTCCCCAGACCTGTTCAGACTCAGAAAGGATCCCTGACTGTGGACGTGGTGCCCAGTGAGGGGTGCAGAGTATGGGGAGGGGGTGCCAGCCCATGGCTCAGCCCCAGCAGCCTCTGTGGTGCTTCAGGTATATTCAGAATCCACTGCTGCTGAATGGAAAGAAGTTTGATGTGCGTTCCTACCTGCCCATCGCCTGTGCCGTGCCCTACATGGTCTTTTTTGGCCATGGCTATGCTCGCCTCACCCTCAACCTCTACGACCCCCACTCCAGTGACCTCAGTGGCCACTTGACCAACCAAGTAGGAAGGCTTCTTGGGCAAGGGCTTTTCTGCAGGGTGGGATGAGAACAGACATAGTTCTTGCTGCTTGGGGACACAGAGGTCTGTCCAGCTGTAGATGTAGCCCTAGCCCAAGGAGGCCCAGCCTTAGAGGCCATGGCAGGGACCCAGATGTCCTTGTGAAGTGATTCAGATCCCTGCAGCTCCCAGCCTGGCTCCCACCCAATGTTCCGAGGAAGGGCTGCCATGGGAGAGTCCAGAGCAGGGGCCCTGTGAGAGTCTGGGGGGCTTTTGGTTGAGGGGTCTCAGGGTGAAGGCATTTGTAGGAGGGTCTCCTGGGCAGGGCTCTGTTCTCTCCCAGTTCATGCAGAAGCAGAGCCCCTTGTACATGTTGCTAAAGGAGGACACAGTATGGAGCATGGACCACCTCAACCACTATATCAATGACAAGTTCCAGAGGACCAAGGGACTCCCCCGGGACTGGGTCTTCACTACCTTCACGGTCTGTTCCTGCTGTACCCAGCCAGCCCCGGGGACAGAATGGGGACACTCAGACTGGGACTCACGGGTCAGGATCTGTGTGTGTCCATCTGGGCTAGGTTGCATTTGACCACTGAGCCATGTTGCCAGCATGTGTTCTCAATGACATGTTTTCCTTGAAGTTAATGAGCTAGTAGCACACTGTCACCAGCAGCCCAGACGGAGGAGCACCAGCAGGGGGAGAGGAGGGGCACCTGAAAAGGTCCCTCACGCACAGCCTCACCACCCACAACACAACCAGTTTGAGAGTTCAGGACTTTTTATGACTCACAAACCTTCTATCTGGGAAGGAAAGCCAGGGGAAGCAGAGAACAGGCCTCCGTCCCAGATACAGACAAGACAGGGCTTCCTTGTTCAAGGGTCATTTGGGGTGGGTGTCCTCATTTCTCAGGGACATTTTCTATTGGCAGCCAAGCCACTGGGCATTCAGGTGTAGGACAGAGTGTGGCTGTGGGTTGTGAAAGTCAGCCACTTTGAAGTGTCTCCAGTCTCCCCCCAATAATCTGTATACTATAAAATTCACCATTTTGAAGAATGCAGTTAAGTGGTTTCTAGTATATTCACAAAGCTGTGCGATCAGCATGACTCTGAGGGAGGGGAGTGTAGGCAGGTGTGCCCAAGCAAGTGAGGGTACAGGTGACAGGTGTAACTGATGTGCAGGCCTGGTAGGTGACAACCGGGACCCCTGCCCACCTCACCCACAGAGGCGGATGCAGCAGATCATGACCCACTGCTTCCTGGCAGTCAAGTCCAAGCTGGAGCGAAAGCTGGGTTACTTCGACCTCATTGGCTGTGATTTCTTGATTGATGAGAACTTCAAGGTGCTGTCCTGGGTGGATGATGTCTGGGCAACAGGGGGCATCTGCGTCCTGACCATAGAAGCAAGACCACTCACCCCCTTGCCTGCCCAAGTGGCCATCCATTCCAGCCTAATCTGGGGAAGGTCCACACCCCTTCTCGGGAAGCCCTCAAGACAGACCCTCAAGGCCTTAGCAAACCAGGGGAAAGAGGCCATAGGAACACAAGGCTCGACGGAGACCAGGGCCCCAGACTCTCTTGGGACAAATGGGCTGCGAATGGTGGCGTGGGGATACTGACCAGCGTCCCCATAGGTGTGGCTGCTGGAGATGAACTCCAACCCCGCCCTGCACACTAACTGTGAGGTCCTGAAGAAGGTGATCCCCGGCGTGGTCATGGAGACCCTGGGTGAGCCCAGGATGGCCTACCCCGCTCCACCCCCATGAGGCTGGCTCTCCACACCCTAGGGCCTGCTCCCCCCACCCAGCGGGCTCGCCCCTCCTCCGAGGCCAACTCGCTCCCCTTCCCCAGACCTAGCGCTTGAGACCTCCCAGAAGAGCCTTCGAGGCCAGAAGATGCTACCCATGCGATCGCAGCGCCGCTTCACGCTCCTGCACAATGGAGAGGCGGACCAGAGCCCAAACCCGCGCCTGCGCCCCGCGGCCTCGAGTGCCCGGCTCCGCCCACCGGCGCCTCCCCGCCCCCGGCCACCAGGCCCCACCCCCGGGGAGCAGCCGTCTGGGCGGAGGGGCACAGGCCAACGGGGCTGCTAGCGGGACGCATCTCCTGGGACCATAAAGGCTATATGTGACAATGCGTCCTCCCCAGCGTCCAGTCCCGGACCCCAGGTTTCCCTCTGCCCTACCACCGACCTTAAGGAGGCAGGATAGCAGGGAAGGTTGGGGTAGCGACCCCCCCACCCCGTCCCCGTCCCCGTCCCACCTCCGGGTATCCTTGGCCTCTCAGCCCCCAGGACCCTCGTGAGGATCCAGTCGCACTCACATAGCCTCTGGGGGCCCCTCTCAATTGCTCCTCAGGCCACAGGGGGCTCACGCCACCCTGCCCAGCACAGCAGACATGGCCTCTCTTCAGACCAGGGTCGCTCTCCCACGAACCTTGGTGAGGTGAACGCACAATCAGGGCAGAATGGTCCCTGGAAGGTTGCTCTGAGCTCCCAGGCAGAACCTTGGCAGGTCCCTAAGTGTCCAGGGCTCCACAAGTGACCCTGCACACACACACACACACACACACACCACCTCTTCATTACCCCACCTCTTCATTACCCCCTGGCTTCCAGCTGCCCACCCCAGCCATTGTGTGCACTTTCTCGAAGCCTGGGTCAAGTGGAAAACTCCTCCTACCCTGCCCACACTTCAACTAACCCAGGACATCAGACCCAATCCATCCCACCTGAGAGGAGCTGGCGGACCCCATGCCAGCTCTCCCGGCAGGGTGGCCCCATTCCCAGCAAGCAACAGCCGGGCACCAGGAGAGGGCACCATTCACCACAGTGTCTAGTGGCACACAAAGGGCCCGAACAGAGGGAACTGGGGCCCAGAGCCAATGTCCCAGAGCCTCTGGGTGGGCTGTGGGCACCCCACACATAGCCCTCCCAGACACTCCTATTGCCTGCCCAGGAGCACACCTAGGCAGGGAGGGGAAAAGACCAGCCTCTAGGTCTGGGGCACCACACCCACCCCTGGGATAAGGGCCACCCTTCTGCCCTCACCCATGGCTGCTGCTCAGCTCCATCACCTCAGGGCCACCCTTACTACCCTCTCCTCTTTTGCTACCCTGAGACCCCAGCCCTCTGTGCCGCACAGGCCTATGCCTCCTCTCACAGTGCCCTGCCCTGTCATCATACTGTGGCAGAGCATCCCAGCTCTCCCCCACCTGCCTCAGGGCACTGGCCCCCAGTTCAGGGCCATCAGGATATCAACAGAAAGTGATCAAGCTCTGGGGACAGGGAGCTTCCACCATGTGATGTGATAAGTACCCGATGGCAGGGCCTGCCTTGTGCTTAGGAGACCTCACCCAGCCCAGGACCCCCAAGAATGACTGTCTGCTGTGCCCGTATTCCTGGGAGCTGGAAGTCAATAAAGTTTCCCAGAGATCCTCTGTGCTTATCTACCCACATCCTGACCACTTCCAGGTCCTTCTTGACCACTCTCAATCCACACATAGGCTCCAAGGTGCCCTTAGCCCCAAGGTGTCATGGAGCCCAGGGTTGGGCGGGCTGTGGGGTCCCTGGGGACTTGGCAGGTACAGGATGTTCTCTAACATTCACTTAAGTGCCTTGGTGGGCCAGGGCCTAAGGAGCAGTCAGCAGAAGCAGGGCTAAGGTAGCCTCATGGGGCACTCAAGGTGGAAGGGCTCCTGTGGCTGTAGACTCTTCCTTTGTCCTGGTCCCCCTCTTATTCCGTTCTCTCCTATCCTCCTCCTTCCCTCCCTCTGCCCCTCACCCCTTTACAGGGTTGAATCCAGAGGTCCTCCTGGTGGGCAGGAGATTCCAGTGGTGTCCTCCACTAGCAGAAAGGACAAGGGTCTATCTGCCCCCAGCTCTGAGCAGGCATCCCTCCTCCCATCCCCTATCTCTGCAACCTCCCTCTTGGAGTCCACCAGCAGAAAGTCACTGGACCAACACTGCACTTTCATTATCCAGGGCCTGGGGCACCATGCTTTCAGCCAGAGAATCATAGGGCTCCCTGTACCCTCAGCCCTTCTTCCCTTGAAATATGTCTCCAAGAAGGGGGATAAGAACACCTCCCGCCCCTCCTGAGCTACCTTCTCTGGAGACTCCATTTTGAGCCTCTGGGAAGATGAGACAAGTGAGGGGTGGCATCTGCCTCCTGCCCAGACAGCTGCTTTCCCTGGGGTCCAGTTAGCTGAAGAGCAGCCCCTCAGGAGTGAACCCCTGCGGTGTCCTCAGAGCCCAGTAGGTGGAGGGGACAGGAATGACAGCTGGTCACCAGGTCAGGGGAACACATCCCAACAGCTGAGGCCAAGGGAGCTACCTGCCCTCAAGGATTCTCTGCAGGAGTCTTGAAACTGAGGAGAGGTGTCCAATTCTGTCAGGGAAGGGTTCCCCTGCCCCCCTGCAGGCCCCAAATCAGATTGTATGAAGAGAGGGATCCTTTCCAGCCGGATGAGGTTAGGAGGCTGGGTGGGCGGAAACACTTCTGGGAACAGAGGTGGCCTCTGGGTCCTTATCTTAGGCTGAACACAGATGGAGTGGGGGAGGGTTGTGGTTTCCGGAAGAGATGGAAAGCCACCCCTGGGGATTGGGGCGGGGGTTTCCAGGAGCTGCCATGAGACCCTGAGCTGGCCTGGGCCAGCCAGAGTTGCACCACTGCGTCCCCCACTGCAGTGTCCCCAGTAGTGCCCCTGACAGCCAGGATCTGTGCAGGCTGCTCTTCAGGAAGTGGTGTCTCTGACAGGTCTCTGCAGAGGCAGCAGCACCTTCCCCACTCTGGCACGCCTGGGTTACATCCCTGGGAGCTCCCCCGCTTCACCCCCAACTGCCCTCCAGCCCTTTGCCTCAGGGCTCTGCAGACCCCACTGAAGGAGCAGGGCTTGGCCCTAACTAGCTAGCAAGCAGGGGGACCCTTGAGGTAGGGCCTGGGCAGACCTGAGGCACCAAGGCACCGAAACACCAGGCTGCTTGTGGAATCCCCCACCAGCTGCCCCACACTGACGTCCTGAGGAGTTTCCAGCATCGTCAGCCTAGCTTTGGTGCTTTCTGGGGATGCCCCTGTGGTATCCTGTGGGGAACAGCTGAGTTGAGCTCCTTCCTGCCAGCAATGTTGCCTGTGTGGGCCTTAGTTCTCAGTCCCCATGAGCCTCTGTGCCAGGGGGGCTATGACTGCCACTCCCTAGAACAGTGGAGATCCCCCTCCATCTGCCTACTGCAGGCTGGGCCACCACTGTCCATGCCATTGAAGTTGATGGGGGTGAAGGCAGGTGAGATGAGGGGGCAGTGCCAGGCATGTGGATGCCTCAGTGGTGCTGCTGAGACTGGTCCCCACTGGCCTGCGGCTCCCTGAACAGCTGCACACAGATCTTGCTATCAGATCACTCCAGGAACACCTGGGCTGGGCGTGCCTTGGAGCTGAGCCCCAGAGAGCCAGGTGGGGAGGAGTAGGCTTGGAGGCCACTTTGCACCAGCGAGTGCTGAGGCAGATGCCAGCCAGGCCCTGGGCTGAAGGCAGAATGAAGCAGGGTGGGTCCCCGGGAACAGCCAGAAACCAGTCTTTATGGGCTTGCAAAGGGGCAGTGGACACAGCTGTCCAGCAGAGGCAGACAGGTTGGGGGGTGGATAAGAAGCCAAGAGGGCAGGCATCTAGCATGGACGCCCCCCTCCAGGAAGCGTCCTGAGCCCATGGCACCTGCCAAGTGCTTGTGCCCAGGCCTGAAACCCTTTGTGTCCTGGGGAAGGGACCTGGGCTCAGATGGACAAGGTCCCTTGCTCTCTGCCCTTCCTACTGGCCCCCATACATGTCCACTCAGTTACTGCACAAGTATTTATTGAGAACAGAACTGCAGCCAGGTCTGGCCCTAGAAACTGCAGCCCAGAGGGCCATAGACTATTGAGGGAGGAGGTGGCTGTGGCACCTGTCTCTCATAGGGCCCCGCCATGGCCACCCTTCTTCTATGTAGCTGGGGTCTCTTAGCACTGGACCCATCCTCCACCCACTTCCACCATTGCAGGGAGCAGGGCCAGGCCCAGAGCAGAGCTCTTGCTCCAGGTCAGCATGGGCGAGCTCCAGAGGGTCCAGCTCAGGTGCAGCTGCTCCTAGGAACAGCCAGGCCTCATACCCACTGGTTCCCCAGCTGGCCCTTTTCCTCCAGCCGCTCCCCCCGCTCCTCCTCAGGAAACTGGCAGCTGTAGGTGTCCTCAGCAGGTGGTGGCAGCATCTCCAGGAGTGGTTGAGTCTCTGCAGGGGACTGTGGTCAGCAAGCAGCCTGGGGCCCACCTCCCACTTTCCCAGAATACAACTGACCTTGGGGCCACATGAACTGCCGCCTCAGCTGCCAGATGTGCAAGCCCAGCTGGATAGTGGTCAGGACAAGGATGCAAGAGGCCATGGCAAGGAGGACAGTGGTCAGCTGGCTGTGTGGCTCTGTGGGCAGTGGCCCAGGGAGGCACACTGCGTTGTGGGTCTTGTTTCCAGGGAACATGGTGAGAAACCCAAACTGGCTACAGCTGGGACATAAAGACAGACCATGTCACCCTCAGCCCCAGGAGCAGCCCCACTGAGAGGGACAGGAGAGGCTCCCTAATGCAGGAGTGGGCTGCCTGGCTGCACCCACGTGGGACTCACTCTGCCCAAGGTCTGCAGCGGCCCTGATGGTCCTGGGAAAAGGTCCCCACAGCACAGCTGACACACGTGAAGCCATACTTGAGCTTCCCTGGGGACAGACAGGCCAAGGGGTTGCTGGGGTGAGTGAGTAGGGATTTGGCCTCACGGGTCATCATCCACCAGAGGACTCTAATGCCTGTAGAGTCAACATCCACAAGTGCCCATTCCAGGGCTGGCACTACCCACCCATCCCTATGCCAGTGGACAGGGGGAGTGTCAGGGCCTGGACTGCAAAGTAGGGGTCTGAGAGCAGCAGGCCTTGCCCCTTATCCCTCACTTTTAAGCAAGGAAGTTCCAGGGTAAGAGAGGGAAAGCTAAACAGCCACAGGCACCTGAGGGCACCCTGAGGATGCTGAGTCCCAGTCAGGAGGACGTCTGGCTCCTGGCACTCTGGCTGGGCCCCAACTCCACCCCCTGGTCTGCTGGTTCCACTCCAAAGCCCTCACCTTCAGGCTGTGCCTCTGTGCCTGGTGGGCAGGGGTGGTATTTGCAGGTCTGGCATTCAGGGTCACCACAGTGATACTCCGGCTGGACACACTCACAATCCTTTATAGCATAGGCCTTGCCTGGGTGGGGAACAGCCCAGGTGCTCAACAGCTAGGCAAGCCCCGCCCTCTCTGGCCTTAGTGCAGCTCCTCTGCACATCTGGCCTGGCTGATTCCCACTGCTCTCAGCTGCCCCCAGGGTGGGTGTGATGTCACACATACCTGCTGAACAGAGCCTACAAGCCCTGTGATTCCGGACTGAGCCTCCCTCACAGGCCCCAGGGATACCTCAGAGGCTCTGCACAGCTGGGGTCACCCTTCCCCACTGTTGGGTAGCAGAGAGGGCAGTTTCCTGTGACCTTCCACTGTAAATGAACCCCTTACCTGTGGTTGCAGATCAAAGGCAATGGGCAGGGCAGAAGGGGTGCTGGGATCCCAAGCTGGGTAGGAAGTGGCCCGTGAAGAAAGCCCCCAGGCCCCTCTCAAGAGGCCCCTCCCTGCCCTCCTTCCAGGCTCTCAAGTCACTGGCCCAGCAGTACCTCTGCTCCCTCTGGGATCCCACTTTGCCCACTAGTCAGCACCACCCATGCTCACCCTCCTAGGCCACCATAGGCCCACCCATCACGGGCTCCACGCACCCTCCTCACCTGGGGAACTAGGGCTGCAGCACCTCAAGTTGGTCCCTGTCCCATTCAGGTAGCGGCCTGGGCCACAGGGCCCCTTGGCAAGGCACTGACCAAGGTTGAGCACGCAAAGCAACAGGACCCGGCACAGGGCCGCCAGCAGCCCCATGGCGCCTAGGTCAGGCTTGTGGGTTTAGCAGCTTAAACCTGCTTTGACACGCCCAGACCTCGCCCAGACCCACCTCCAAACCACCTCCGGGTGGCTCCACCTCTAGCTTCCTGGGGGGGACCCTCCGGTGGGGTGTTCCTTGGGGCTTTAGGGGTGGGGATGAAGCCATTCATCCTTTAGTCTCCAGACTCCAGCCCCTCAGCCTCACCTGCTACTGAGGAGCCTGGGAAGTCATCTAGAAAATGGGGACAGCCCCTCCCCAGCCCCTCAGCCTGCCAGCTGCAGATGCAAAAGCCCCAGGTGTGAGTACCAGTCTGGCATCTAGCTCTGCCCGACCCTCCTCCCACACCTGACCACACCCCACCCCTCATTCTGACCTCTGGGTGCTCTATGGAACTGTCCTGCTGGCTTTGGGCACTCTGACCCCTTCTTGGAGCCCAGGAAGGGGGGCTGGATAGACCCAGGATGGCTGCTTCCCTTTGAAGAGGGGGCTTGAGGTTATTAAAGAAGGGGGGTGGGGCAGGGAATCAAGAAAAAGCTAAAGGCAAGAGAGGTCTGAGCAACCAGGATCCTGGACAGGTTAGCTACTCCATGCTAGTCCCATGCCTTGGACTGCAGTTAACAGGATGCCCCTCAAAATGCAAAGGGGCTCATGATTGTGACACCAGGCCAAAGACTCCGAAGGACCCTCACAGTGCAGCTGAGACCCCCCAACACCCAGATGTCTTTGTCTTGTGTGTGACAGCTCCTGACACAGGACACACACTGAGGATCTGGTCCCCTTTATGGCCTGTGGTTGGGCTGGCCTGGTTGGTCCCATACCTGTTGACCCCTTCCAAATGGTTAGGTGCCTCCTGCGTGGCTTCTGCCAGGCACCCATGCTGACAGGTGCACTCCAGTTCCCAGTCATTGGCTCCAGGGTCCCCATATGGCCAAGGGCAGCCCTGGAACCCTGGGGCTTCAGAGTGGAGTCCCAGCACCTTCCTTGTCCCTGCTACCCTGGAACATGCTGCAGTGGATCTGTCCAATTTGCTCTTGGTGGACATCTGGGTACCTGCCTCAGGACTGCTACAGACACTTGCTCAAGCCCAAGGCCTGGCTTCTGTAGGGTCACACCAAAGGGCTCGAGGATAAGGTTTGGTTTGGTGTAGTGGAGCACTCCTATAATTCCAGAACTCAAGAAGAGGCTGAGGCAGGAGGATGACCCAGAGTTGAAGGCCAGCCTGGGCTATACAGTGAGATTAAGGCCTTCCTGAACTACATAGCAAGATCCTGTCTCAAAAAACAAAACAAACCGAAAGTTTGGCTCAAACAGAAGCCACCTTTTTTCCGAAGTGCCTAATTCTTGGAATGCTCCCACCTGAAAGGACATAGCAGCCCTCACTACCAGAGACCTCCCACTATAGAGCCCAGGAGGGGGCCCTGGGCCACCCTGTACCAGGTATAGTGGAGTAGGGCTGTGGGCTGAAGAGAAAAAATGGCACTGGGTTCTCTCCAAGAATGGCAGAGGCTGGAAAGGGGGCCTCTGGTGACTGGGGCACTCAGGTCCCTTCCTGTCCTTGGATTCTGAGGTTTGGGCCTTCAGCACATCCATGTTGGCATTGTCAGGGCTCTCTCACCCCACACCTCCACCCTGAGTGGAACCCTCCTCCACCCTGACCTGACACCCAGCCCCAGTTAAGGAGGATGAGGCCATCTGCAGACCTGAGGTTTGCCAGTGTGTTTATTGGGGCACTGCCCAGGCAGATAGTATGCACAACATACACAGAAGCACCTGGAGCCAGCCCAGCACCTAGAACTGCAGAGGGCGCAGGCGGGCAGCCTGAACCTGGGGCACACTGCCTTTGAAGTCCCCCATGCTGCTCAGATCTTGGCTAGGGCAGAGTGTGCATTGGCCTGTTCCTCTTGGATGGGCTTCCGGAAGCTTTTTCCCCCTGGGGAGGAGAGAGTGGAAGGTTGCAGGGGGTTGGGTCACTCTCCAGGAGAGGGGCAGGCCCACGACTGCTACTCACCAGAGGGCTTGGGGGCACCAGGTGGCATCCAGGCCCTTCTGTACAGGTACAGGACCAGTAGTACAGCCATGGGGACCAGTAGGCCCAGGCCCAGGCCCAGACCCAGGACAGCAGCCAGCACAGGGCCTGCAAGGAAGGGCCAGCTGGCTGAGTAGGTCCAGGAGGACAGCAGGAAGCTTTCAGTCCTCTCTCCTCTCCCTCCTCGCCTCCTGGGCAGGCCCTCATCACTGGGGGCCTCCAAGGGTGGCATGAAGGGCCCCTGAGAAGTCCAAGCCCAGGATGCAGTTGGCCTGGCCACGGTGGGCTGGGCCATGGTGAGCGAGCTCATGGTGGGCCTGGCCTTGGTGGACCTAGCTGTGGGACCCTGGGTCTCCCAGGACAGAGTGGCCAGGGGACTTCTGTCTTCACAGATGGCATCCGAACTGCTGCTGCCTTGCTTCAGTGTCTGTTTCCCAGCTGAGGCACATCTGGGGGCAGGGAGGGATGGTCAGACTGAGATAGAGATGGGGTCCATGCTGGTCACCACAGGGAGCCTCAGATTCCAGCCAAAGACAGCTGAGGACCCCAGTCCAGGCCTCAGCTTCCACTGTTTGGCTCACCATAAAACCCCAGCCCATGTTGCTCAGCTGGGGCTTGGCACCCCGAACCACCAGGCACTTCTACCAACCCACACAAAAGAGGCCTAAAGAGGACAAGTGGCCTGCAATGGGTGACAGGGCCTGGGACACTCCTGGGACCAGGCCTGGGGTCTCACATACACACCCCTCGCCCTGCTGTTATCACACGCTCATACATTGCACCCACAGGGATTTCGGCAAGGCCATTATTGGAGGTTGGACCCCAGGAGCTCCCAGCTGTCTGGTCCCAGACCTGGCCTATTACACAGCCAGGACCCATACCCATCTCTGATATCTCCCAGGTCCCTGAGCCCTCCCAGTACCCATTCCCCCATTGACACTCACTTGGTCCAGGGCTTACAGGCCTGGTTGCTGCCCAGGGAGAAATGGCCAGGAAGGCAGGGCTTGCAGTCTGCAGCAGACACCAAACTCTCAGCTACCTGATAGTGCCAGGGGCCTACACACCACAGCTGCTGAGATGGGGCCACAGGGCTGGGTACTCACCCCATGGGGAGTTGAAGGCAGAGGGGCTAGGGCTGCAGAAACCCCTCCCTGCCCACACTTGCCCACTGACCCTGACCAGGGCCCAGTCCCAGCCCAGCCCGCTGCACCCTGTGGCAGTGTGTGAAGTAAGGATATGGCCCATTTACACTAAGGCCATGGCTGAAGAGTCAGGGTCCATGGACACTTGCAGCCCTGCCAGGGCTCCTCTGAGGCTCACCAACTCCATGCTTGAAGCCATCCAAGGGCTGGGTGCCAGGCCTGCAGTGGCAGACAGTATCCTGTGTGGCTGTACAATTCTGCTTGATTTCACTCCCACTTCCTGGGGGGCAGATAGGGCTTAGACAGGGCCCAGTAGGGGAAGCTTGCCTCCCATCAGTGTAGGTACAGCCTCATCCCGGGCCTGAGGCCCTGGGCTCCCCACTCTCCCTTTGAAAGACCCCCTCCTGTCTTCTGCCTCTCCTGATCACTTGAACAGCCCCAGCTTCCCTCCACCAGCCTGCAGCCTGCAGCATCTGAGTCAGGACCCTCAAGGTCCCCACTTTGCCCCCACCTAGCCCAGGATAGCTCATGTGGCCAACTCATTCTCCACACAGCCTCCACATGGCCCAGGAGGGGGAGATCCCTCAGCTGCCCCAGGGACCCAAGGGAGGGCAGCCTGCCAAGTTCCGGCCTTGTTTCTGTAGGCTCCTGGAAGGTAGGTGCCCAATGTGTCCTCACTCTTTCTGGGCAGGACTAAGGGTCAGGGAGGGGGGGCAGGGGCTCACTCTGGTTGCAGTGTGTGCATGGCTTGCAGAACTGGTAGTTGACAGCCTCATTGTAGAAACCAGGTTTACACGGGAGGCACACACTGTCTGTGGTGCCTCTGCAGCGGCTCACCATCATGTTGCCTGTAGCAGACCCCCATCAGATTCATGGTGGACCAGCCCTGGCCAGCAGAGGCCGAGCTGCTGGCCCCACCCCTGCCCCATCCCTTCTAGCAGGTCCAAGTCTGCTCATCCCAGGACACTGAACCTATGTTACGACCATGTCCCCAGCCTGAGGCCAGGTCACTCACCTGGCTGGCAGTCATGACAGCACAAGTGGCCATTGAAGTAGGTGTCTCCGACACAGTTGAGCCCAGCTGTGGCGCCATGCACCAGCCCCAGAAGCAGGAGGGCACAGGCCCCCACACACATCCTCAGCTGTGTTCACAGGAGTCTGGGTTTTTTCCTTGCAGGATGTGACTATAACGGCTTGGGGGAGGGGCAGGAGGAAGCTGTATGAACATACAAACGCTGTGCTGGCGTGTGCACGTGGGTCCCTGTGTCTCACACACACCTTGCTCAGACACATACATGTGCATCCACTCAATGGCTAGGCTATCTCCTTGAAAACTCTGAACCCCAGCCACCCAGAGAATAGGGCCATGCTGAGGCCATTGCTAAAACAGCTCAGATTAGCAACTCCTACAGGAACAAAAAGATGGGCACCCCTGGGCACTTTTGTCCTTGGCATGGCCATGGGCAGTCCTACTACTACCTGGCAAGTATGCGGGGCACACAGGCATCTGAACAGAGAAATATCATGTACATACCGCCCACTTTGGCACTGGGACACATGCATCCTCACACTTTCTTACAACCCAGAGCTGGGGGAGGCTGGGGGGCCTCTGTGTCACTTCTCGCCTGTTAAATTGTGCCCCAATGAGATCATCTATCCCCAAGTTAAAGGTAACAGTTGCCATTGAGACCCCAGCCCCCCCTCCCAGGATGAGGTGCAGGAAGAGGCTGGAAATCCCCCACCCCCAGGGGCATAGGTGAGAGCAGAGTCCCTGGCCCACCTAGGGAAATTCCCACCTGTGCCATGCTGGCAAGGGGGTGGAGAAGCCACCGCTGGGCAGAGGGGCCACACTGCAGCCACTCTCTCCAAGCCCTGGATGGGCAGGAGCCACACAGCAGTGCACAATGACCCCACCACACAGGCACCTGAGGAGGGCCATCCAGCTCTCCTGCCCGACATCCACATGACGGAGTGAAGCCTTCCTCTGCCAAAGGGTCCTGGGGCCCTAGTGCTCAACACTCAGCCAGAGGAGCCTCCTCCTCTTCTGCCTGCCACTGCACATCAAGTAGCCAGCATCTGCCCACAGGCAACCTGTGGTGCACTCCAATCCACCCTCCAAGGGTCCCTGTGGGGTCCAGGCTCCTCCTGTGTGACCCATCCATGTTCACCATGCTGGGGCCCCCAGATTGTAGAGGAGACAGTACCAGCAGATGAGGAAGGGTCCCACAACCTTCTTCGGCACATCTGGGTCACAAAGGGCTCACACAGCCCAAGCTGCTGCCCCTCGAGCACCAGACCCTAGGTAAACAGCTTCTGAAGGACAGGGCAGGCTCACACTTCTGGGCCCATACTGAGCTGGGCCAGTGTCCTGGATGCTAAGACAGCCAATTGCCGTGAACCTCCTCGTCCAAGGCCACAAGCAAGCAGAGGGGCTAGCAGCAATAGCTGTCAGGGCAGCCCACACCCAAGGTAAAGGCACTGCCTTTCTGCTGGTGCACCCTGCCCGGCTCTGAAACCTTTTTGTTTGTCTAGAAACTAGCCCAGGTGTCTACACACCCCCAGGGCTGGCAACTCTCCTCACACTGCACAGCAACAGTCCCATGGGCAGGGCGAGGTCACACCACAGCTGAAGACAGCAGCTAAGGACAAAATCAGGAGGGTGCAGGTAGTGGTGCAGCAGCAGTCAGGGGCAGGCTACCTGGCATGCAGCAGCAGTGTCCTGCGCGGATGTGCAATTCAGGGCTGGGCATCCCACCAAGGCACTGGCCCAGGCCCATGCTAACCCCAAATCTGACTCCACTGGGATCGGCAGGGGCCTCCCCTTATCCTGTGTGGCCCCCTTCTGTCCCCTCACAGGCCTCAGGTAGGCATGGCCTCACTTGCACCTTTGGGAGAATCAAAACATTCAGCAAAAGCTATAAACCCCTCTGCCACCAAATCACCCACCTCAAAGGCTTCTAGTGGAAGCCACTTGGCCACAAAATTTTTTTTTATCAAAAAGAATACAGTGGTGAGAAAAAGGCAACTGTATTTTAAAGTAAACTAATGATTCTTGTGACAGTAAGTCTTTCTCAGAGACTGCAAGCTGAGGACGACCTCACCCCACACACCCCGGCCCCGGCCCCAGCCCAGGAAGGAGGTGCCTTCCATGTTGCCTGGCTACTCTCTGCCAGCAAAATGTGTCTAGTTTCATCTCAATCTTTCAATTTTCAAGGTAACAGCAGGAGCTGCGTGATTTCTAAGTTCTGCACCTGGATAGGATACAGCCAGTACCTTCAGCAGAGTTCAGCAGTTCTCAGAAACAGAAGTAGCAGTCAAGGAACAGAAGGATCGAGACATTGCTAACCAGGTGTGAGGTGACCCACAGGGACAGGCACCAAAGAGGAACACAGCTAAGCACAACTTTAATAAACTCAGGTCATGCCACAGCCTCAGCTGAGCCCAAGAGTGTGGTCGTGGGCAAGAGCAAAAGGGAGGTTCTGGGATGGGCCTAGGTGCAGGACAGGCACCAGCCCCTGCCACACGGACCACAGCCCTTGGGGGTGAGGGGGCTGCAGGGCCATGGTGCTCAGAACTCCTCGTGCACATTGCGGGCATAGTCCATCAGCTTGCTGCCTGTGAAGAACTCGCTGTACTTGAGGATCTCCTCGGGCTCCAGATGGTGGTTCTGGTTCTCGTCGGCAATGGCAATCATCTGCTTGGCCTCGTTGAGGGCGTTATACTCGTTCATGGGGTCCATGTAGTTCTGAAGTGAAGCCAGGCACAGTGAGCAGCCCCTTTCTAGCACTCTATAACCACATGGCCCCTTGGGTCCAGCCTAGGTTTTCCCTGTCACTGGGAGACGTGGTCTCAAGACACCACCACCAACACCATGCCAGGGTGAAAAGTAGCACTTTCTGCTTCTAGGAAGAGGTGGCCCAGCTCTACATGGTGACCACCCATGGAAGCAGACCCTGGTTTAGAATGCCACACTGGTTGTAGGTTGGAGCCGTAGACATGTTGGAACATTCTGGAAGGATGAGGATGCCTGCCTGGGCCTAAAAGGAGCCCCAAGTACAGAGAATGACTTAACCACTGGGCAGGGAGGGCCCAGCTGGCTGCCAAGACCCTAGTACATCAGAGACCTCTAACTTTAGCCATGCCTGACTTGGCTATTGAGAGGTCAGAGGGCATGGTGTGGACCCAAATGACTCATTCAGCAGTGGGAAAAACAAGCCTAGGCAGCACCCACACAGGAGTTCAGTGGAAATAGTTCAGAAGACGGTAGGGGTTTCAACCCACGCCCATCCACGTGGCAGAGGTTGGCCCTGCCCCGAGGTCCTTACAGCTGCAGCCAGCCCAGTAGCCGTTCAATAACTGAGCATGACACGTGTTTTCCCTTCTGATCCCATAAGAACTCCAACATGAGGCTGGGGTGCAGCTGTGCCAGAGCACTTGCCTGATATGTGACACCCTGGGCTCCATCCCCAGCACCAAAAAGACAAAACAGAAAAAGAATTTCTTAATTCCTCCCACAGGCAGTGCTGCCACACAGGATAAAGTGGAAAGCTGCTTTTGAGGCTCAGAGGCCAAGTGTCAGGGACACTGGGCTCTCACTTCCCAACCTGTTGAGTACAAACACGGACCCTACATGGTCATATGCCCTCCTGGAGCTATGTGGCCAGAGGCTACCAAGCAAGCATCCAAGCAGCTGTCCTCCTCCAGACCCTTGGTACCTGGCAGCCCACCTCTGCGGCTACCCTGTGCCAGCACCCTTTCCTCAGCAGTTCTGCTGTGGGTCCAGCTAAAGATGTAGGGCTGGGATGTCACCAGAACACAAGCAGGCCCTGTTATGGTTTGTGTCTAGATGTCCCCCACAGAGCCTCACATGGTCATAGGTGGGAATTTTCAGAGGTGGCTGGATCTGAAGTATGTGATGCTGCTGGGATTAAGTGTGTGACGTTGGGACTAAGAATGTGTGACTGGTGTGGCATAGTTCTGAGTGTGGATAATGGAAAGGCCCAATCTGGGTATGAGTGCTACCTGCCCTAAGGCCATGTAGCCTAGTTTAATAGTTGCTGTTTGCTGACTGTCTATTCACTGCTTTGCTGCCTTCCTGCCTGCAGCCCACCATTAACTACTTCTCCTGAGTGATGCCCCTCTACCATGCCACCCTGCCTTGGAGCTAGCCAACTATGAAATGAAACCTCTACAAACTGTGACCTACAATAAACTTTTCCTTTTCTAACTTTGGGTGCTGGGTATTTTGTCTCAGCCACAGGCCCTCACTCACCTCTAGCTCATCCATGGTCACAATCCCATCGTGGTTGGAGTCTATCAGCTCTTCAAACTCTTTCTTCCTGTCTCTGACCCAGCTGTCATCCATGTCCTGGCCCTGTTGGTTCTCAACTGTGCCCACAGGCAGGGAGATGAACTCAGGCAGAGAAAGCTGTTTGTCGCCATCCTGGTCTATGGACACAAGGTGGGGAGCAGGAGACACTTGCTAGGACCTCACAAGAGACACCCAGCAGAGAAGCTGCTCTGTTTGACTTGTTAGATTTTGGCCTAAGGTCTGCAGCCGCCTCTTAAGTGCCCACTTGGAGACCTGGTCAGGTCTGGCCCACCCTCTCTGGCCTGGAACCTGTGGGGTGACATAACCTTACCCAAGTCCCGGACAATCTCCTTGACCATGAACTTGAGCATGCCCCGGCTGTGCTCAGGATGAAGGAAAGACAGGAACTCGTCCTCAGTCAGCAGCAGGTCTGCAGGGGGATTGTCTGCCTGATACCAGCGGTCTTTGAGGTTCTCCAGGACTTCCTGTGCTGAGAGAGGCATGCCCATGAGGACCCCAGCATGCAGACACCAGCACACACATCTAGGGGGTTCCATGGTGCTGAGCTCAGAAGGCCAGTATGTGGGACATGCTGGGCTGGAGGACACGCCTGGCCCCAGGAAGGGGACACACAGGCCCCCTCAACACAGCTCTGATTCCTGCCACCACCAGTCTCCCAAGAAATGACCCAGAATCTCCAGACACAGCACAGTATCCCAGATACACACAGTGCAGACTCCCAGAAATAGCACAGAACTCCTAGACACAGCCCAGGACTGCAGACACAGCTCCAAATCCCCCACTCATCTTCAGATTCAATCTAGATCCCTAACATAGCCCATAACCCCCCAACATGACCCAGGATCCCTGAAATTGTCTAGACCCTTGGACACAGCCCAGAACTCCCTAGACATGGCTAAAAATACCCAAGACACAGCCTTAGACCCCTGGACATGGCCTAGAATCCCCCCAGCATGGACTAGGACCCCCTGACATGGTCTAGGATCCTTGAAAGTGAGCCAAGAACCCACCCTCAGATGCAGCTCAGACCCTCCACCTTTCCAGTGCACCTCTGGCTACTTGGTCCTGGCAGAAATGGAAACCGTGCAAGGCTGAGTCATCCTTGGCGACATATGTAGGGACAAAGGTGTCTCTTTCATTCACCTCTTCCACGTGCAGCACTGCAGAGGGTGGCACAGCAGAAAACCCCTCCTCTACAAATGACTGACACTGAACACAGAGTTCCCACAGACCCTCTGGCACTGGGTCCTTGGCAGAAACTCAATGTCCCCACCATCCTGGGACCCACAATAGCCAGTGACCAAGTCCTGGTGTGCAGGATTCTATGAGAAGTGGGTGGCTCAGCCCTGGATGCATCACCCTCTGGTCATAACAGACAGTGAGTAGCTGCTGTATCTCAGTGGTGACCTGAAGCTTAGCCTGTGACAAGATAAAGGAAATGGAAGTCAGGCAAGGTGGCCCATGCTTGTCATCACTGTGACTCAGCAGCCTGAGACAGGAAGACAGCTGAAGCCCAGGAGTTTAAGGCCAGCCTGGGAAATGTAGCAATACCTCACTTGAAGTAAAAAGAGCTAACATCAGGAAACCATGGGAATTGGGGATAGGTGGTCATGAGAGGTCTTGGTGCTGCTGTGACCACTATGGTGCTATTTTGCCCAGGTAAGCTGCACACCAAGGACCAAGGATACAGAGCACAATGCCAGACATTGTGTGGCCAAGCCCATGGGACAAAAGTGCGATGACAGACCACAAGGGACTGAGCAGAAAAGAGAACCACAGCCCCTCACCCCAAGCCATACAGACCAGGGCTGAGGAGAAATCACCAGGTGCGGCTGGGCAGGTAAAGAGGAGGTGGAGGCAGTGACAGCTAAGGCCTTAACTATGGACACCCCCCCCCACACACACACCAGCATGGCTCTAATGCCCCAGGTGAGGGTTTCCTGAGGCCCCTGAGTGAGGTGGGGTCACCCTGAGGGGCCCAGAGCACTGCCTACTGCTTCCTCTATCTGCTCTTTCACCATCTCTACCGGGGTCCCCTCCCCTTCCTCTTACCCCATCTCAAGTCTTATGCAGGCTATGCTCTCTTCTTGGAACCTCCCCATTGTGGGGCTGGGTCCTCCCTTCCTCCAGAGCAAAGCACCAGATCTTGAGCCTCCAGCCAAGGCAGGGCCCCATCCTGTGCTTTAGAGCCCTGGAGTCCTCCTTAGGACTTAACCAAGTACTGATAATAACACCAAAGGTGCTCTACCAGGCAGGTGGACATTGCTCTGACAGGCCCAGGGAACACTCAGGCCAGAGGGTTATCAGTGCTGTTCTCCCACTTCCTCTGACAGCCCCGACATCTACACGTGCTGGATCACACTGCCCACAACATGTAAGACACACTCACACTCCCTCACACAATCTGACAAGCTCTGTCCACCTGTCCAGGTATCTGCCTGCCATTCTGGGCCACCTGTCTGCCCAGCACAGCAACCCTGGCACTCACTCTCCTCATCCACCTTCAGCTCCTCATGGTTCCTGATCGCATCAGCAACCTCCTTCTCATTGTGGCCTTTGCTTGTCAAAAACTTCACTTTGTATTCATCCCAGGACACGTGGCCTAAAAGGACAGATGGCACCTGTCAGAATGTTTAAAATTCCTGAACCATAAGCAGCCACAGGAGGCAGGCCATCTGCCCCAAGTGTCTTGCGGGGGCAGTGGTCTAGGGTGGAGAGGCCAGAGCCCAAGCCTCAGTCCTGCCCAGTGCCTACCACCCACTTTCCAACCTGCACAGCTGCCAGGGGGCCTCCATCCCTCAGGGTCAACAGATGAACAAGCTGGCAACATGTGGCAGGATAGTACGAGGAGGAGCCCTAAACTAGTAAGAAGCTGTGGGCTTTTTAGTTAAAACCGCTGGGTCACAGCTGGTCCTTGCTGTGTATCCTACATCTTCAGCAAATGTCAATCGGCATGAAGAACCAATGCTGGTGGAAACTAGCCCTTATCCCATGCCTCAGAGACCCCTGGCTCTGGCTTTCTGCACTCCCTGTCTTTCAGCCCAATGCCCTGTCCAGCAGGCCTGTCCCACCAAGGCCAGGCTGCTGCTACTACTGTGACTCCTGCCCTACTTGATGGCACGGCCCCCTGTACCATCGCCATCAGGGTCCACAGCCCGGAAGTGCATCTTATTCTCCTTCACAGCCTCCTGGAAGTGTTCAGCTGTCTTCTCCATGATCCAGCGCTGCATCTCCTTGGCACTGATCCTCCGGTCTGTGTTCACATCCACTCTAGGTGGGCAGGTGGCAGGCAGAAATCAGAAAGGCCCCAGGACCCATGACAGAAAGAGGGGCATGGCAGACCACAGTGATACACTCCACTTGGCAGGGACACAGAAATCCAGGGGACCTGGGGGCTTGCTGGGGGACTTGGAGAACGGAACTTGAGGTACAGTGAGGAAGTGGGCAGTTTGGTCTGCAGCTGCCCCTCAAAACATGACCAGAAGAATCATCGCCCAACCCCCCTCCAACCATGACTTGTCATATGTTCTCAACATCCTGTTTCATGGGAACACTCCACATACACAGTTACAGGATTCAGGGTGAAGGACCTTAAGGGACATAACACTGTTTAAGAAGGGAGGAAACAGGACTCAGGGACAGACAACAGGAATACCCAAACATACAGAACAAAGGGAGTCAGAGGAGCCCTGGGTGTCACTATGACTGCCGAGACTGTCCCCTTGGCCCCTGGTATTGCAAGCTGCTGTGACCTCTCCTATGAAGGACCAGCCGACTGACCATGGCAGATGCTGGGCACTGTCTACTTCTGGCCTGCTGACTATGCGTGTCAAGAAGACTCAGGGCTGCCAGCCCAACCCTCCCCTCAGGCCGCACTCAGCCATAGCACATCCTGCAGCAGCCTCCATGGCCTCCCTCATGGGAGGCAAATGCAACCCGTGCATACACCTACTTAGAGAAGATGACCATCAGCTTTCTCCTGCTCCTGCGAGGCTCTGTGTCCTCATCAAAGCCACCCACATCTTTCCCTAGGAAGACCTCCTGGTGGAAATCCTTGTTGAGGTGCCCATCCATCTCGAGTTTCACCCCATTCAGGTGGTCTGGGGGCAGAAGCTCCTTTTCCTCTCTGTTGGCTGCTCTCTCCCGGGTGGATGAGTGGTTGGCTGGCCGTGCAGATGCCATCAAAAGGACAAAACCCAGGAGCCAGAAGCAGTGTGCAGCCAGGCCACAGAGGGGGGCTTGCCTGGAAGCCATTGCCAAGGAGTCAGGCTGTGGAGCAGTGGCAAGGTGTGGGCAGGAAGCAGGAACAGGGAGCAGCAGAGCTGAGGTAGATCACAGCTCAAATCCAAGCCTTGGGCCCTGCCAAGGGTTCTGAGGGCCCAGAACAGCCACGGGCTGACTGCCCAGAAAGCTGAAGATGGACAGCACAGGATTCAGACCCCAGCAAGCAGATGAGTCTACAATAAAAGCAGAGACTCATTGCTTAGTAGAACCCAACAAATACTTCAAGAAATGTACTTATTTTATAACCTAAGACAAAAGTGATCAAGACTACACACTTACTTCCTTTGGTACAGGAGTGGAACCCAGGGTCTTCTTTGTGGGCACCATGAATTCTTTTTACTCTGCAATGCCCCTCAGCTAACCTGCCTTGGACCCACTGATTATGGACTGAAACCTCTACAAACGAAATCAAACTCAGGATCTTGCGCTTACTAGGCAGGTGCTGAGTTGCTAAGCTATATCCCTGATCCTATTTGCCACTGTTAATGTTTATTTTCTCTTCTCTGAGTGTTACCAGGAATTGAGTTTTCAAAAGAAGGCTGGTCACTATGAACAACTTCAAATAGAAGTGGAAGAGATTTATCCCCCCAAAATGAACAAATCTCAACAGAGAAACACAAGAAATACGAAAAAAGACAGTACTACAACTCCTAACAGTTCATAAAGCTCTAGTAACTGAATGCAAAGATATCAAAATTGAACTAAGATGGTATAAAAAACCTAAATAGATGAACAAAAAGCAATGAGATTAAAGTGTAATTAAAAAGTCTTCCGGGTGGGGATTTAGCTCAGTGGGGCCGCCACTTGGCTCACAAGTGCAAGGACCCAAATTCGATCCCCGGTACAAAAAAGAAAAGAGATTATAACCAAGACCTGTCATGTAAAGGTGCAGGATCCCAATAATGAATGTAACTGTACTGTATACCTAAAATGTACCAATAAACTCAATTTTAAAAAAAGTCTTCCAAAAAAGAAACAACAGTCCAGGACCAGACAGGTTCACTGCTGAATTTTAACAGACATTTAAAGAAGAACTAACACCAGTGCTCCTTGAACTGTTCAATGAAATAGAAAAGGAAAGAATACTTCTGCATTCTTTCTATAAGGACAGAATCACTCCTATCACCAAAACTTAATAAGGACACAACAAGAAAAAAGAAAACTATAGATCAAAGCCCTTGATGAATCCTTAATAAATCCTTAATAAAATACTTGTTAACTGAATTTCACCACACATTAAAAAGATCATATACCATGATCAAGTTGGCTTCTTTCCGAGTCTGCAAGACTGGTTCAACATATGTAAATCAATAATGTAAAATACCACATAAATGGAATCAAGGATAAAAAATGTATGCTTGTCTCAAATGATGCAGGAAAGACTGGCAAAATTCAACATCCTTCATGATGAAAGCCTTGAAGAAATTAAATATATAAGGATCATATCTCAACATAATGAAGGTTATATCTGACAAATGTATAGCCAACATCATACTCAGTGGAGGAAAACTGAAAACATTTTAAATCAAGAACACAACAACGATGTCCATTGTCATCACTCAATTCAGTATAGTACTTGAAATTTAAGGCACAACAATTAGCCAAGAGAAAGATTAAAAAGGATAGAAGTAGGGAAAGAATAAGCCAAACTATCTTTTTTTTTACAGAGGACAGGATTCTATATTTAGAAGATCCTAATGATGCCACCAAAAAACTTTTGGATCTAATAAAAAAGTTCAGCAAAATAGAGGACACAAAATTATGCATCAATAATAAACTAGCTAAAGAAGAAATCAGGAAAATAATTCCATTCACAATAGCTTTGGGGCTGGGGATTTAGCTCAGTGGCGCCATGCTTGCCTCACAAGCACAAAGTCAAATTCCATCCCTGGTACTGGAAACAAACAAGCAAGCAAGCAAAAAACACAAAAGCTTCAAAAATATAAAATACCGCGAGATCAATTTGACCAAATAAATAAAAGACCTTTACAATTAAAATTACAGAATACTAAAGAAAGAAATTAAAGAAAACACAAGAATATGGAAAGTGGGGCCAGGGATTTAGCTCAGTGGTTCCACCACCTGCCTCACAAGCACAAGGGCCTGAGTTTGATCACCGGTAAAAAAAAAAAAAAAAAAAAAAAAAAAAACTAATGACTTACAAAACTAGGAAAACCATTCCAAAATTCATGTGGAAACACAAAACATCCAGAATAGCCAAAGCTCCTAAGCAAAAAGAGGAGTGCTGGAAGTCTCACAATATCCAATTTCAAAATATACCACGAAGCTATAGTAATCAAAAAAAGCATGGCACAAAAATAGACATATAGACCAATGAAATGGAATAGAGAACACAGAAATAAACCTACTCAAGCAGTCATCCGATTTTTTTTTTTTTGGTACCAGGGATTGAACTCAGATTCTTGTGCTTGGGAGGATGGTGGCAGAACCACTGAGCTAAATTCTGGGCCCCAGTCATCTAATTCTTGACAAAGAGGCCAAAACCATGTTAGAAAAAAAGACAGCTTCTTTAACAAATGGTTCTGGGAAAACTGGATATCCATTTATAAAAGATAAAACTAAGATATATGTATAGATATATATATATAGATATCTATATATATATATCTATATATATATCCTCTTATTCTTTACAAATATTAATTCAAAATAGGGCAAAGACCTAAACAAAAGTATAAAACCTTAAACTAAAGTGCTAGAACAAAACAGGAGAAATGCTTGAAGTCAGAGACACAAGCAAAGGCTTCCTGAATAGGATGCCAACAGCACAAGAAATAATAGCACTAATCAACAAATGGAACTACATTAAATTAAGAAGCTTCTGAAGAACAAAAGAAACAATCAACAGAATGAAGAGAGAACAAAGTGGTAGAAAATTTTTGCCAGCTACTCTTCTGATGGAAGATTAATATCAAGAATACGAAAAGAACTCAAAAAACCCTAATACCAAAAATTCAAATAGCCCAGTTAAGTGGGCAAATAAATTCTCACCCCAGTCAGAATGACTACCTTCAAAAAATAATAAATGCTGACAAGGATATGGGGGATAGGAACCTTTCTACACTGCTGATGGGAATGTAAATTAGTACAGCCACTATGAAAATCAGTATGGAGGTTCATCAAACTTAAAAACAGAACTGTCCTATGACCCAGATATCACACTGCTTGGGATACACCCAAAGGAATTAAAATCAGCATACTATAGGACTACCTGCCTATCCATACTGCAGCACAATTCACAACAGCTAAGATATGGAACCAGCCTAGATGCCCATCAACCAGATGTGGTATATATGCACAAAAGAATATTATACAGCCATAAAGAAGAAAAACTAGGGGCCAGGGCTTTAGTTCAGTGGTGCTGTGCCTGCCTTGCAAGCACAAGGACCTGAGTTCAATCCCTGGTACCAAAAAAAAAAAAAAAAAAAAAAAAAAAAAAAAAAAAAAAAAAAAGAAGAAGAAAGAAAAAAGAAGGAGGAAGAATTGTCATCTGCAGATAGATAAATATATGGACCTGGAGATCATGTTGAACAAAATATGCCAGACTTGGAAAAACAAGTATCATATTTTCCCTAATATTTGGAACCTAAAAGAATAAAATACCAAAACCCAAAGATGACATGAAAATAGAAGGAAGACTGCTATTACACAAGGGAAATGGGGGATGGGGTGTAAAGGAGGGTAACAGAGATAATAGGACCAAAATATGTTATATGCATGTATAAAATATCACAGTGAAACAATATTTTGTACAATTAATATGCACCAAAAAAAATTTTTAATTAAAAAAATTTTTTTACTTTAACACAGGGTCTCACTAAATTGCTAAATTTCTTAGACTAAGCTCAAGCTTTCAATCCTCCTGCCTCAGCCTCCCAGGGCACTGGGGTTACAGGTGTGCACCATAACGACTGGCTCATTTTTCTCTTTTTCAAAGATGACAGGAACTAGATATGGTGGTGCGTGTCTGTAACCCCAGCACCCTTGGAAGCTGATGCAGAAGAATCAAAACTTTGGGCACAGCATGAGCAACTCTCCAACTTAGTAGAAGGCCCCCAGTTCAATCCCCAGTAACCAAGGGCTGAGGATGTAGCTCAGCGGCACCTTTCCTGCCTGGCAAGCACAAGGTCCTGAGTTCAATATCTGGTACCAAAAGAAAAGAAAGAAAAAAAAACTTATATGTAGCAATATCCATATACACATATACAATTCCCAGTAACCAGAAAAGAAACAAACAAACAAAACACTGGTTTTCAGCTCTGTCTCCTCTTTAAAGCTGACACCAACCTCCAGGGACTGACTGGCCCCTACACAGTGCAGCCTGCCAGCACCGTCTGATTCTGTCCCTCCCTTGTCACAGAGCTTACCACAGGATTGTGGCCACTCACTCTGTAGCCCAACCTGAGTACTGTGAGGTTGTGACCCTGGCTGGGTCACCTAACCTTCCTGTCCCATTTCTCCCTAAGAATCAGGACACTCCCTGCCCCTTGCTAGGTCTGGGCACTGTTTCACACACATCTGTACACAAAGGTACCCATGCACACATCCTTGCTCACATTCCTGGAAGAACACTAGGAAAGCTCAAGGCTCAGAGGGACTCCTGTTTTTCCTGCAGTCTGTCCATCCATGTGGAAAACCACACCTACCAGTCCCACCAGGTATAGGTGGGGCTCAGTGTGTGTTGCAGCTGACCCTTGTCCTATGACTTGCAATTCTAAAAAGGCTAGGACCCTGTATCAGTCAACTTCTGTATCCTCGCACCACTGGGCTGGCTGAACACAGATGACACTCAACAACAGCTGCCTCTGGGGACATCCAACTGGCCACTTCCTTTCAGGCCCAAGATGATGTCTGCGACTCCCTTATGTTGGACCCAGCAAGCACTGCAGCCAAAGGGGCCTGGGGTCCCCCAAGGAAAGGAACCCCAAAGTATTTGCTCCTGATGGATGTTCTCAGAGCTGCTAAGAGCTGTCTCTTCCTGCCACACATGTGACTCCATTCCTGCATCCCAGTTCTCCTGGCCAGGGAAGCAATGAGTAAAAACCAAGGGAACTTCCTGCTAGTGTTAACTCCCTAACAACCACCATAAAAATACAGTGTGCAAAGAGATTGTACTTTGCTCTTTTTCTCCTCCCACCCCAGTTCTGAGGATTGAACCCAAGAAGCACTGTGCTATATCTCAAGAGATTCTAAAGAATTTTGAGACAGGGTTTTCACTAAGTTCCCCAGGCTGGACTCAAACTTCCAATTCTCCTGACTCAGCATCCTAGCTAGATTTATACGTCACCACTCTTGCCTTGTACTTTATTTCTTGAAAGAACAGTCAGTTCTTGCTGGGGATTTTGCTCAGTGGCACTGTGCCCACCTCACAGGTGCATGGTCCTGAGTTTTATCCCCAGTATCAGAAAATAAAAACCAAAAAACAGAGAGTTCTCACTATCTTGATGAACTATGGAACACTTAATTTCAACTTCTTATATATAAAACATAACCCAAAATAATTACAAATACCAAGCATGAGTCATTCACCTTATGGAAAGAGTAACAGCAGGACTGAACTAGCTGGGCAGCTGCTTGCATGGCAGTGTCTTTCAAGGAACAGTAGCCAGTTTCTAACAAGTAGTCAATAAATTCTCAAGAAACAAAAATTGGAAACAGGACATCATAATCTCTCCACTTTATCTGCAGTCAATAGCAGTCCAAAAATGATATTTACTTACACTCATTTACTAATATATTTAGTAACTCACTCATTTAGGATACATTTAGTAACTTTATTGCAGTTTGTCACCACAACCGTTCTGTTTTATTATTTGGTATAGTTGCTGAGCTTTTCCTGGGCCTAACTTATTAGCTAAGCTTTGGCACAGGAACGTTATGAGCGAACCCACAGCCCAGGTGGGGCTCAGGATTAACTGAAGCTCCAGGACCCTAGGGATGCGTGGGAGGGGGCTTCTGTATATCTTTACCATCCGAAGGCTCAGTCCTGGCGAAACATGACTGTTTCGGAGCTCTAAGGTTTTAGAGGTAGCGCTAAGGGCACTCGCCAGACCCGCCGCCGAGGCTGAACTAGGCCACGACTACCAGGGATCATTTTATCGATAGAGAAACCGAGGCAGAGACTCTGAGCCACCTGTGAGATCCCCTCGCTGGTAGGGACCTGAGCCCCCACCTCTCCAGCCTGTTTCCACGATACCGTGGGTTCTGTCAGGAAGAAACCGGGTGAGGCCGGCAACCAGAACCGCGGACCTGGCCTGGCCCAGAGCAGCAGCTACCTCAGCTTCCTGCTCCTGGCTGCGCCGCC